TCAATGGCCAAATTTACGAACAAATAAGAGGCACACCAATGGGATCGCTGACCTCTGGTCTCGTAGCCGAGACCGTGTAGCAGTCTGGAGATTCCCCGTTTTGCCTGTGTAAAATTCTAACTAAAATTATTTCATTGTACACCTAGGCAGCCGGTGTGGTTTGTTGAATTGATTGCTGAGTTCGAATATTTGACTTGTTCATCGCCATTTTTGCTTGGCGCTCGTTTCGGTTGCAACTCGCAACTGCCCTGTGTGCTGTGCTTGCCCCATTCCTCCAGCTAGAGCGTCCACGGTGTCGTTCATTTATAGCTAGATAAACAGGGAATCTTTTACTGTACCGATAAAAGTTTCCCTGCAACTCGATCCGTCTTCTCGAATCGCTCTCTGAGCTCCCGGTACAGGCGACTCACTAAATCGGTTACCCCGACGCCGGAACAGTCCCAGAGCCGGAAATTTAGAACTCTTCTCCGGCGAGCTCGTTCCATTTATTTTTCATATTTTGCGGTTTATTTTTGCATGCAATAGCTTATTTTTTGCGTCATTTTTAAGCCATGGAATCTGTAGACCATAAGGTAAAGTCTCTACTTAGCTTTGTATCTTTCTCTGTACCACGATTTTGGGACATGGATCCGCTTTTGTGGTTCGCTTATCTTGAAGCCGTGTTTTACAACCACAGAATCATTTCCGATTACGCGAAGTATTGCAAGCTCCTGCCCTATCTCCCCAATGAGATACCAATGTGGGTTCGTGACGTTATCCTTTCTTAGACCGAAAACCGCTATGAGGTTCTCAAGGAGGCCACGATCAAGCGTGCTATGCCCTCTGAGAACGCCTGCAGCTGCTTTTCAGGGATCTGCAGCTGGGTGACAAACTGCCCTCAATCCTGCTATGAAAGATGCAGCAACTCCTTCGTTCCTCAGCATGGATGCGACATTACTTCGCGGACTATGGCTACAACGGCTACCGGAAAACACGCAAGCGATTCTCGCTACAGTAAGCTCCGTTTCGCCTGCTCAATTTGCAGATTTAGCGGATCGAGTTATTGAACGATCACAGCCACAAGCCAACGCCAGCAAGATGAATGCCGTCGCGTCCCAGGGGACTTCTAGCACCGGCTTGCAGCCAACTATAGATGGCCTGCAAACACAAGTTGAGACACTTAGTCGCCAGATTCAGCAGCTTACTTTGAATCGTCGCCGTCATAGCCGCTCAAAATCGCCCTGCGAACGTTCGAAGTCTAGAAACAGACAAGCTAGCTGTTGGTACCATCAGCGCTTTGGTACTGCAGCCCGTAAATGTGTCAACCCTTGTAACTTTGCCGAGAAGCAGGGAAACATCGGCCGGTCCGTAACGGCGACTGACGCGACCGGCCAACACCAAAGTCGCCTCATCCGCGTCAGGGATTTAACTTCCGGCACCGAGTTCCTAGTCGACACTGGAGCCAAAGTTAGCGTTATACCCCGTAGCCCAGATGAGGTCGTCTCACCATCGCCGACCAAGCTACGTGCCGCCAATGGTACACCAATCGCAACTGTCGGCGATAAGCTGCTAACGCTCAATTTAGGCTTTCGGCGAACCTTCCGCTGGCCTTTCATAACCGCTGCCGTGCCTTTTGCCATCATAGGCATAGACTTTCTTCAACGTTTCGACCTCATCGTTGACGCTAAAAGGAAGATGCTTATCGACTCTAGGACACAGCTACGTGTTATCGGGACTAGCACCAACATGGCTGCTATCACTCCCATTCGTGTCCTACCTCAAGCTTCACAACCTTTTATTGAACTTTTCAACAAGCATCCTAAACTCGTGCGCCTCCTGAAAGACTTGCCTACCGTGACGCCAAACGTTATGCATCACATTTGCACTCAGGGCCCACCTGTTTCGGCCCGCCCTCGCCGACCAGTCCCGGAGAAGCTCAAAGCCGCTAAGGCGGAATTCGAGCAAGTGCTCGAACTGGGAATCCTCCGCCAGTCCAAAAGTCCATGGGCAGCATCATTACACATGCTAACGAAGAACTCCAGTGACTGGCGCCCCTGTGGTGACTACAGAGCACTTAACAAACTTACCGTCCCGGATAAATACCCCATTCCGCACATGCACGACTTGACCTCAGCTCTAGCTGGCGAGTCTATATTTAGCAAAGTCGACTTAGTTCGCGCGTACCATCAGATACCTGTCGCGCCAGACGACATGGCTAAAACCACAGTCAGCACGCCATTCGGCATATTTGAGTACCTCAGAATGCCTTTCGGCCACAGCAACGCTGCCCAAACTTTTCAGCGTTTCATTCATGAGGTAACGCGAGGACTCGAAGGCGTTTATCCATCTCTAGATGAAATTCTCATCGCAAGCTCTTATAATGAAGAACATCTTCATCACTTCGACGCTCTCTTCAATGCTTAACCAAGCAAGGGGTTTACGTCAACCCCGATAAATGCGAGCTTGGCCAAAGTTCCATCGACTTTCTTGGCCACCGCATATCGGCCTCTAGTATCGAAGCTATGTCAGACAAATCCAGGCACTGAAGGACTATCCTGCTACCAGATCCTTCAAACAGTTACGACGATTCCTTGGCCTGGTCAACTATTATAGACGCTTTATTCCTAACTGCGCGAGCATTGTTCAACCAATGACTGACTTGCTCCGCGGTAAACAACGGTTTTATCATTTTGCAGACGACGCTGGACTGTCTTTTGAGAAGCTCAAAGACGCTATCTCCAACATAGCGCTTCTCGCCCATCCAGACACGTCTGCACCACTCTTCCCTGTTAACTGACGCTTTGACACTGCCGTCGGTGCAGGTCTTCAACAACTCATCTACCATCGATAGATACCTCTAGGTTTCTTATCGAATCGTTGATACCTGCCGAATTGCGTTTCAGCACCTTCGGGAGTGAACTGTTAGCTACCTACCTAGATATCAGTCATTTCCGTCAATATCTTGAAGGTCGACATTTTACAGTCTTCACTGAACACATGCCATTGTTCTACGCAATCAATGGCGCAACAGACAAGTATTCTCCGCGGGAAACTAGACACCTAGACTACGTTTCTCAGTTTACGACAGACGTACGACATGTCTCAGGTGCTCTCAATCCCGTCGCGGATGCGCTTTCACGCATTCAGCAGATCAGCTTATCGCCTGGCACCAACATGATCTAGCCGCTATGGCTGCTGCCCAATAAGCTGATCCCGACATAGGGCAAGCTACGACGCAACACCACTGAGACGATCACCATCGATCGACTCAAGCCAGCATTCCTCGACAAGTCTGACTCTTCGGTGCAGCAAGCACCTTCACAGCCTGTGCCATCACAGCTCGCACCGCAACCTCAGACGAGTCAGTCCGCTCCAGCAGAACCGACAACCTCAACCGACAGCACTCCTACTCGCCCTACTATCAATCGACGCGGTAGGAAGCTCAAGCCTCCAGTTCGTTTTTCGGACTTCGTTAGCACTTACTATTTTACATAGAACGTGCCTTCGAAATTTTCTGCTCTTACCAAACGTTTTTGAAAATCCACAAAAAAGACCAAAACGTTTTGAAACTACAAAAAAGAGCAAAACCTTTTGAAAACCCAAAAACAGCTTTGCACGTTTTTCGCTTTGCACTCTTTTGTGTATGGCTATGCATTTATGCTGCTTTTTCATTTTGCTTTCCATATACACCGTCGGTTGGTTGCACCTCGGTTTCACTTTTCGCTGGATCTCCGCACGTCAACTGGAAGTGGAACGAACTTCCTGCTCAACCGCATTCGTGAACTTTTACTAAACTGTCCCCCCACAAACAGTTTTTTACCGATTCGACACCGTAGGGAGGACGCGAGTGGGAGCCTGCTAGGGTCCGATTGCATGGTTCTCCCCCAGCAGCTGCATCAGGTTTCACATACTTGTCTCGTAGAAGGCTGGCCCGAGACGGAGAGGCCACACGTAGATCGAAGGACTGCTTACACAGTCCCTTCTGGGGGACGCTAAGTTTCAGTCTGGAGGTTCCCAGGTTTGTCTGTGTAAAATTCTAACTGAAATTAGTTTATTGCACATCTAGACAACAGGTGTGGTTTGTTGAACTGCTTGCTGAGTTCTAATGCTTGACTTGCTCATCGCCATTTTTGCTTGGCGCTCGTTTCGGTTGCAACTCGCAACTGCCCAGGGTGCTGTGCTTGCTCCGTTCCCCTAGCTAGAGCGTCCACGGTGTCGTTCATTTATAGCTAGATAACAGGGAATCTTTTACTGTACCAATAAAAGTGTCCCTGCAACTCGATCCGTCTTCTCGAATCGCTCTCTGGGCTCCCGGTACAGGCGACCCTCTAAAACCATTAAAGTACCCTGTAGGTCTGCGACTACCGGGCAGCTTCTGCGAGGGGATAACGCGCTTAATCTTTGCCTCTTTGAGGGCCTCAGCGGTTTTTGGTCTGTGAAATGATAATCTCTTGAACCTGCTTTGCTATCTCCTTGGGGAGATGGGACATTAGTTTGCTATACTTCGCGTAGTCGGAAGTATTTCTGTGGTTATTAAACTCAGCCTCAAGACGAGCGAACCACAAAAGAGGATCCATGTCCCAAAAAGGTGGCACAGAGGGATACAACGCTAAAGTTATTTCAAAAGCTCGTGGAGGACTCTCTGGAAGGACACTTGAAAGCGTTTGCATTGCTTAATCCTTCTCAGCACGGCTTTTGTAAGGGCTACTCTTGCCTTACTAACATGTTAACCGCTCGTGAGCACTGCGCCGAAGCCATTGATTGCGGAAAGGTAGTGGACGTGCTGTTCATTGACTTGTTCAAAGCTTTTGCCACCGTTCCACTTTCGCGCATTTTGTACAAGCTGAAGTCCTATGGTGTTTTTGGACCAGTCTTACGGTGGATTTCTGCTTTCCTTATCGGTAGGGAAAGGTGTGTGCGGGTGGGATCAAGTCCGTTTACATATTTCCCTTAGCTACTGCGAATAGCGACCTCCTGCGCATTCTGTTCTCTTGAGACAGGTCATTGCATCATTGGATCAAGTGATTATGTCTAACTCACAATGTTTGCATTGTGCGAAAGTGGTGACTAAGGGTATCCAGTGCATTGCCTGCAAACTCTGGGCATGTGGCCAAAAGCGTTGCTCGCAACTTACTGAACCGCTCTTCAAGACCTATGCTGAGCACAAGGGTTTGCTATGGATTTGTCGATATTGCATCGATGCTGCTGCGTTGGCAAGACGTCCGCCACATCAACATCCTGAAAGACGTTCTTCTGCTCCTTCTGCTAGGCGTGCCAGGAAGCGGAGCAACACATCTTCCAGCGACGCTCCAAAGGTCGCGGCCACCCCCGCCCCGTCTACTTCTCATTCGGACCCATTGATACACATCCGGCCTGTTGAGCCTACGACGAAGTCATATGCGGACGTAGTGAAGGAGAAAGCGACTTTGGCCTCGTGTGGCCAAGGTCCAGCCACATGTGTCACCAAGGCTAAGACTAAGTCTTTGAATAAACCTGAGCTTCCATCTTCTCAGTCACAAATGAAGATAATTCTCAACAGAATCTCTGAGCTGGAAAAAGTGATAAAGGAAAATCCAGCATCTCGTAAGCCACCAATTCCAGAGCGCATTCAGCCATCTCGTGACCGCTGTCTCATCATCGTGAACGCGGCGGAATCGGACAAGGCTACCTCGGCGGAGCGAATGTTGGATGATCAAATACTGCTCGAGCGGATGATTTCTCTACTGTTTGATGCAGGCGAACAGGGAATAAACATTGTCTCTGCCTTCCGCCTCGGTAAGAAGCAGGAAAATTCCTCCAAGGTTCGACCCCTCAAGATTGTATGCGGAAACGAAGAAGAGTGCGCGCGCATCCTTCGACGGACTCCACGTCTCAAAGGCGAACCTTTCTACGTGTTACGAGACCTCTCTCCCGAGGACCGAATTAAAATGAAGAAGGCTGTAGAGGAGCTCCGAACGCGCCGGGCGAGTGGTGAAACCGACCTACATATCGTGGATTTTTGCGTAGTTCGGAAGAGCACAAGAGTGCGCTGGAGGCCGATTCTTGTCACCCCCAGACAGTAAAGCATAAAAACGGACTACGCGTGCTATCTGCCAACGTACGCAGTCTAAGGAATAAACTGGACGAAATTCAGTTGCTTACTTCGGAGACTCGTCCAGACCTGATGGCCTTCACCGAAACCTGGCTATTCTCAGATATCACGGACTCGGAAGTGTCTATCCCTGGATATCACCACTCCCGGTCCGATCGCCACGGGGTGAGGTCAGGTGGTGGAGTAATTCTCTACTGGAAGACGGATCTCAAAGTACATCTAGTTGAAGCAATCAGTGACCAGGATGACAATTTCGAAGCCCTCTGGTGCCGTGTTCATGACGGATGCAGATCTCTCTTGGTCGGTGTCGTCTACAGAGCGCCATCGGGTCCCGGAGCGCGCTTGTTGGGCTCGATAAGAATGTATGGTGGGCACAAAGACTGTTTAATCTTGGGGGATTTCAATGCACCGGATATCGATTGGGACCTACTTCTTTGTGATCGCCGATCTGACTCCTTCGACGCCACACTGCTTAAAACCGCTCTCGATTGCAGCCTCGTTCAACATGTCTTGACGCCTACTCGTATTTTCCCAGACCAGACCCCGCACATCCTGGATCTCGTGCTCTCCCCGGCAGATTCGGATGTCACGAACCTAACCGTTCTTCAACCCATAGGCAAGAGCGATCATTGTGTTGTTTCATTCCACTGGACTCGCCGTCTCACGATCCATAGCCACGGTGGTCACCGTCGAAATTTTTGGCGTGCCGACCCACTCCGTCTGAAAACGGCCGCAAGCGCTACGGATTGGGGTATCCCTGAACACATTCACCTCGATGACGCATGGAATCTTGTACTCTCCAAAATGACGTCGTTAATTGAGCAGGTCGTTCCTTCCTCCCATCGAAAGCCCTTCGCTAGAGGTCCACCTTGGATGGATCGAGAGTTGAGGTCAAACATGAATAGAAGGCGCAAATTATGGGACCGCTATAGGCAATCTCATTCAGAACTCGACTTCTCTCACTACAAGACAGTCAGAAATGTTTGTGTCGCAATGAAGCGCCAGAAACGCCAACGATACGAGCTATCCTTGGCAAAACACTCCAGCATCGCGCCTAAAATGCTCTACTCTTATTTGAAAAGAAGCACTAGAGCTGGTAATGGCATCCCTGCTTTGTGTTCCTGTGATCATCAAGCTTTACTTCACGAGGACGCTGAGAAAGCTAGTCACTTGGCTAAGCAATACGCTTCTGTTTACGCGAAAGAAACGCCATTTAGTGACAGAGCCGTATCCACATTTCCATCTTCGTTGGCCCAAGTAGATATTAACACTGATTCTGTGATGAAACTTCTTCTTCAGTTAGATCCGTATAGCTCACCCGGCCCTGATGGATTGCATCCTTTGTTCCTCAGGACTGTGGCGGAGTACATAGCTTCACCCATATGTCAAGTCTTTCGTCGCTCACTAGAAGCTGGCCGTCTTCCTTCAGCTTGGAAAGTGGGTATCGTCAAACCCATTTACAAAGGAGGAAGTCGACATGATCCGGCCAATTATCGTCCAATCTGTTTGACGTCAATAGTGTGTAAAGTTATGGAACGGATCCTAAAACAAGCTGTTACTCTTCATCTTGGGGGACAGAATGTCATTTCTTCTGCCCAGCATGGGTTCAGAAAAGCACGCTCCTGTACCTCGAACTTGCTCGTTGCTAAGGAGACCTGGGCAAGGTCGCTAGACTCCGGCAAACGCTTGGACGTTGTGTTTGTTGACTTCAGCAAAGCTTTTGACAAAGTCCCGCATGAACGGCTCCTGTTTAAGCTCCAAGGAATCGGTATTTCTGGGAACCTCCTGTCTTGGATCTCCGACTTCCTAAACGACCGCTCTATGCAAGTGAAGGTGAATGACACATTTTCTGCTCCTGTTCTCATGACGAGCGGGGTCCCACAGGGCTCTGTCCTCGGTCCCGTACTTTTCAATATTTTCATCAACGACTTACCATCCACTCTTCAGACGGATTGCCTAATCTACGCTGACGACCTAAAGCTATGGATGGAAGTATCCAGCCTTGAAGACGCCGACCGATTACAAACTACGCTCGATCTACTCCATGACTGGTCGATTAAGTGGCAGTTGCCCGTAAATCGTGATAAATGCTCTGTTCTCCCCGTTGGCTCATCAAACCCATTTGGAACTTACCATATTGGTGGTTCCTTGCTCAGAAGCGCAACCCAAGAGAGGGATCTTGGAGTGATAGTGTCATCAGACCTCAAATCTATTCAAGACACCCAGAAGAGGGTCGCCGCGGCCTACAGGATGTTCCATTCTATACGTAGAGGGTTTTCTCTCCTGACCCCGGGACTTTTCCGACTCCTCTTTGGCTCGCATGTACGCCCGATTCTCGAATACGGACTACCCGCTGCCTACCCTCTCACCAAATCCGAATGTGATATGATAGAGAAGGTTCAACGGCGTGGATCCAAATCCGTCCCTGAGTTGCGAGACCTGTCGTATCCACACCGACTTCAACGACTGAACTTGTTCTCTCTAGGTTACCGCCGTCACCGAGGAGATTTGATTTTCACTCGACGTATTCTCAGAGGAGAACTGGGTTGCGAGTTACAGGACTTCTTTCAACTCAACACTGAGAGTTCGACACGAGGCCACCGCATGAAACTGTTCAAACCGAGGAATCTCCGTGTGCGGCTCAATTTGGCCTTATCAACTCGCGTGGTGAATGATTGGAACCGGTTGCCGGATCCTGTTGTTGATGCTGAGACAGAGGAACGTTTCAAACAACTGTTAGATTCTCACCTGAGCGCGCTGGGATTCTGCTGCCTCTAAGGCAGCTACAGTGGTCCTCTGCGGAACCTTCTACCGCAATGACCCACGCCATCTCCGCAATGATCGGGAAGTGAAGGAGCTGACAAAGGATCTTCCTTCTGCTCTCTATCATCCAATGATCCATCCAATGATCCAGTAATCAGCAGTGTGTGCGATGGCATTCGATTCACCAGGAAGGTAGAGAACAACGAGCAGTTACCATTCTTAGACGTTCTCATACAACGGACTGATGCTGAAGGACTGGAAACAACAGGCTACCGAAAATATACGCATATGGACCAGATCCTCAACTACGGCAGCAATCATCCGGCAGCCCACAAACGCAGCTGTGTGCGAACCCTTTTCGAATGAGCACAAACCCATTATATCACACCGCAGCTGAGACGGGCAGAAGAAGACCATCTCTTTAATCTGCTCAAGCGGAACTCGTACCCGAAAGGCTTCATTCTACGCTGGCTCGCACCACGAAAGGTTGCTCGACACACCTCGACAAATGCAACAGCTGAAAAGAGAACAACACTGCCCTATTTCAACGGTATCTCTGAAATGGCAGCGAGGCTTTTATTGCCTTTTGGAGTCAAAGTGGCACACCAGCCAAAGGAAACAATTCGTAGTAAACTCTTCAAAGTGAAAGATAAACTTAGCAAAGAGGAAGAAACTGGTGTGATTTATACGATCTGCTGCCGGAACTGCGACAAATACCACGTGGGACAGACTGGAAGCAAGCTTGGCACAAGGCTACACGAACACAGCCTAGCCATTCGTCGCCACGATCAGAACTCACTGATGTCAGTGCATATGGATGCCGAGAACCATCAATTAGACCTAGAGCATGCCACTATCCTCGGAAGGGTTAAAGGCCGGCAAGCACGTGAGTTCGTTGAATTCTGGCATTCAAAACAGAACTCGATCAAGAAGCACTTGGACATTGAAGTCGCTTACGAGGCACTGCGAATCAGGCCCCTGAAGCCGCACTGATGATGTTACCTAGTCAGGCAACGAAAAGTCTGTACAATAATCACTCAGTTCGTAGAGCAGCTCAAAACCCACATCATATTCATTCTCATCAGACTCCTTACAATCGATAGCTGTAGGTTCTTTTGAAAACTCAAAAGCTGTTTCCCACTTACGAGCCATTTTGTATCAAAGGGCACTGCCATTTATCAGACAGAACGCATAATATTACGGGGAAATCGTGCATCGTCTAGCTTTCACTCCCGTTCTAACTGTTATGGTCTGTGGCTTTCTCAGCCATAAAGTTTGCGACTGAAAATTATAAAAGAAACCGGACTTTAGGAAACCGGTCATTTTGCCCGCAAACGGGCTTACTCGGTAGCACGAACACAAGTTATGTACGACGTCTAATAATAATAAAAGTCACGAAATATCATTAAATATATTCAATTGTAGAAACTATGTACATTTAACAACGCCCAGCGGTCAAATTAACTGCTCCAGGCGTTCTAGTGTTCAATTTTCCTAATCAGTCCATCGTTACGTGTAAGACAGCATGCCGACAGGCTTTTCGGCAATGCGTACAAAGTCGTACCGGAGGACGCAGTGTCGCTCAGCCCCAAAAGTGCATTATATTTGACTTGCTCAACCATCAATTCTTCGTTGGTGAGGACGATGTCCAGCAGGGATATATGGCTGTTGGTTGGGAATCTGGTTGGCTGGCAGATATAGTTGTACAACTGGGCCGTGTGAAGAAGCTCAAGGAGGCTGGACACAAACGAGCCAGTCGTCGGAACGGAGTGAAATAGACCAGGTATATTGAAATAGCCCGTGATAAGAGGGTGTGTGTATCTGAGGGATAGAATGAAGTAGATATCGTGAAAGCTTTTCACGTCATTCTCGGAGGAGTTGCTAGGGGGCTGTAAACGAAACCGACAGCAGGTGTTTGAAACTTGATACGATTTGACACCACATGGTATCAGAAGACTGCAAAGCAGAGTCTGCCACTTTGGTGCAAACGAGCGCGGTGCCATAGTGCAGTACAACACCACCACCTGCGGTTGCGCGATCAGAGCGGAGGACGGATATGTAAGGAAGTTGGATTTCATTGTCGAAGATGTCGCCAGACAGCCGTGTTTATGTTAAGGCTATTAGGTCCGCTGGCGTTGAAAGAAGTCAAGATGGAAGTTCCTGAATGTTGCGTACGAGGCCCTGTGCATTCGTGTAAATGTAAGCAAGTCTCGTCAGCGTGACGGGAGCAGCAACAAATACCGCGCTGCCGGCCAACAGGTGACCAGCAGTACGCCGGTTTTGTTTGGAGAAATGGAGCCCTTAAGATTGCTGGAACTTGGGGATGTATAGTGTGGATCATTGGAGCAGGGGGATAGCTGCTTGAGGTTCGTTGGGGGGCTGCCTGTAGGGGTGGGTAGGGGAGCAGTTGACTCAAGACAGTGGGGCGGTTGCTCCGGTAGTGGACAACCTAGATACGGTTAGGGCAGCGTATTGTGCAAGTATAGAGGGGACTGTTGCTGCTGGGGGTGGCGGGCCGTGCATCTCGTCAGCGAGTGGCTTTCTGGACGTAAATGGACATCTGATCGTTCTCGTCTCTTATCAGCATACCATAAGGTGAGGACATCGCTTGCCATGCTAGCGGTGAGGAACGTCCCCTTCAGGAGACAGGGGCCGTTCCTGTATAACTTATTGCACCGGGTAGGTGGTGAACATCCGTCATGGATACTTTGACAACGATCAGCGCCTGCTTAAGAAACCGCCATTGGTCGTAGCCATGCTGCTGTCGCTGTTGTAAAGTTGAATCAGGGGCATGCACTTCTGGAATGCCGTTCCCCATGTTGGATCAGGGTTGGGTGGGTGACGTCGGCTGCTCGCTGCGTGCTGCGCGCTCAGTCGAAAGGATGTCGGGGTAGATACGAATGTGGTAGGCGCCAAGGGAAGTGTTAATTAGATAAAGCGCGCAGACAGTAGAACATCCTCCATGGCCGTGACTGGCTTCAAGTCCCCAATAAGAAGTATTGGCTTACCGGAATTCGGAGATGAAGGGAGGCCAGTCAATCTTGTGATATTACAGGGTTTATTCTCGGGAAGGTTTAGAGCGTCAAAGATTGGACTCCACATGACGGAGTCATGAGAATGGCGATTCCGAAGTTGCAGGTCGATAGACTCAAGAACGTTTGTGCATAAGAGAGAGACACACGGAGACACGCGTTGCAAGTTTATTTAGACACGAACATGGCACGGCACTAAGCTTCCTAGTTTGGTCCTAATGGTAATTGTCGCTACCAGTAACTGAGTGTGGCTCTACACTTGGTGACCCAGGTGCCGAACTCCACCGTAGGCATCTTGTAGCTCGCACCTCGGTGAGACCAAACCTTATCGTTTTTGTTTGGTTTTCCATCTTTTTTGTATCCATTTATCATGCCTGATCGAGACTTTGAATTTCCTGATAATGCATTCAAAATTGTCACCTTTTCTATCAAGCCGGTTATTAGCGGCGATCCACAGTTTGGGTTTGTGTTGGTAGAGCCTACGTTAATTCAACATGGGATCACTTCCGATTCAGCAAAGTGTAGCCAGCTACTAGCTTGCCGGCCCAGGAGCGTAATTCTGCAACTCAAGGATCTGTTGATGCAGCCTGTTTCTGCGCAACCCTACGACACTCTTAAGCAGGCCGTCATTAGCAGAAGCACACCATCCGAGCGGACCCGTATTCAGCAGCTATTCCAAGGTCTGCATTTAGGTGACAAGGAACCCTCAATGCTACTGAACGAAATGCGCCAAATGCTCAACACATCGTCCATGGATGATTCACTTTTGCGTGAACACTGGTTACAGCGTTTACCAGAAACAGCCCAAGGTATTCTTACCGCGATTCAACTGCAATACCAGGTGACGCCCGTCAACTAGTTGACGCTATAGTTACTCCTTTTCGTCATCAGCTCAATTGTGTCGATTCCTCATTGCCGGTTACCTTGTACGCATAATATCCTTCCTGTTCTTTGCTGTTTACACCTCACCCAGTCTGCCCATACTTCACAAGAATGTACCGCCATCTTAATAGAACTAACTGCTTTGTGCCGTGACTCTAAAAACAGGTCTAACAATAACAGACGCCACTCACGTAGCACATCGCCTAACCGTAATGACTCCGTGGGCGGTAATCAGCACTGCTGGTACCACCGCCGATTTGGTGCACAAGCCAAGCGTTGTGCCAGACCCTGCTCCTGCAAAGCGACTCAACACGGAAACTCTCGGGTCACGACTTAAAGGTGATTAGCGTCAATGGCCCACCCGACGGCACTCGCCTAGTTTGTGTTAAGGACTGCCAATCTGGAACCGCGTTCCTGATCGATACCGGAGCTGAAGTTAGCGTGGTTCCTCCCACACCTGGGGATGAGGCTAAGCCGGCCAGTCAGCCTTCGGGCCATCAACGGCACACAAATCCCTACTTACCGCCAGCGCTCTTTAACCCTCAACTTGGGTCTCCGTAAAACATTTCATTGGGCGTTGATTATTGCCGCCGTCCCGTTTTCCTTCATCGGCACGGACTTCTTCAGACATCTCGACCACTTGGTCGTTGCGGAACAACGAAGGATAGCTGACACCGCAAAGACGCTCAGCGTCGCTGGCACCAACGCAGGCATTGCAACTATCACTCCAGTCTGCCTATCCCACATACTACCACCGACGATGTCCAGCTATTCTCTCAGTACCTTAAGCTTGTTCATCCAATGACCGATGCTCTCCTCATGGCATCTCAGGTCACGCGCCATATCCGTACCCACGGTCTACCCGTCTCATCACGCCCGTGCCGAATTTCGCCGGAGAAACAGCAGCTAGTTAGAACGGAGTTTGGCACCCGCTCGAAATGAGAATAATCCGCCCTTCGGATATCACTTGGTCCTCTCCACTCCATATGCTTCCAAAGAAATCTGGCTACTAGCGACATTGCAGTGACTAAACAAACTTACGAGTCCCGACAGGTACGTCATCCCACATACGCAGGAATTCACTGCACGTCTCACAGACAAGACGATCTACAGCAAAGTCGATCTTGTTCGAGTTAATCACCCAATCTTTGTCAAGAAAAAAGACATACGTACAACAACCGTCAT